TGCACAAAATGTCCCGCTCCAGAGGAGCCGATGAGCCTGTGACCCCGTTGGCCCTTTACCTGAAAACATGCAGGAACCAATATTTTCCGATGGCTTTTAAATGACCACGTTGGATACAACGAGTCAGAAACCTCCAGCCTGGATTGAAAATGCCTTGTCGTGCCCTAGAACAAGGTTATTTTTAACCAGAGAACAGATCCCTACGGGACGTTTGTACATCGGGTAGCTTGGTCCACACAGGCAGTGAAAGCACTGCGACACCAGCACTGGCAGGGGAGCGAGTAGAAGAGAAAATGAAAGCTTGCAATTAAAGATTTTTTATTATTATTATTTTTTTGCAAAAAATCTAGTTGGTCTAATAAAAGAGATCACCTCGACCACAAGTCCTGATTGCTTTTGCCTCTGGACCCATACAGCTACAACCTGGATACCTTGTCCAGCCTCTGCTTGTGATGCTGGAGCAGCCAGTATGTGATCCCCCTGAACGTGGGGCAGGCGCTCAGCTCTCAGACCCACATGCACCAAGCTGTATTCCCTCGCCGAGGAAAGTACGTCAAGCCATCAATTCCTCGGGTAACTGCACTGCAGCAGACAGGGAGACGAACTCGGTGATACATCAGGTTGTTGGCTGGAAACAAAACACAAGCAAAAATGGCTTTTAAAAGGCAAAAAACCCCAATTATACACAAAACACCTTTCAGTTTTCCAGGTGCGTTTGCAAAATAGCCTCCCCTGTCCTTTGTTCTCCCCTCCGTGCTAACGTTTCTCCAAACCACGGGGGACTTTTGCTCAGAGTTCGGTGCCGCGGCTTTGTGGAATTCTCTTCGGCGCGCTTTGCAAACACAGTGAGTCAGAGAAAGGGGGAAATTATAATAATATGGCTCCAGAAAAAGCTTATGGGCACTCTGCTTATTAGATCTGACCTTTCAGGATGGCATGTACCCTCTCTGCCTGCCATTTCGAAGGAGGGACACAAAATCTTTGATGGCTTGTTTCCTTAATGTCCCTTTCAGCAGTGGATTGCCAGGCAGTGGGAATCGGGCAATTATTCAAATCAGACACAGATTTTGGAGTCTATTTTCAACACAGCCACGTTGCCCAAAAGCTTCAGCTGCAAGCGCTCTGGGTGAAGCTGGCACGGAAGCAGTACATTAAGAGTGGCAGGTCACATATTTAGGGTGTGCCCATAAAGGATTGTGTATCAAGGGGAAGTGTGATCACTAGCATCCCGAGGCCAGCTTGTGAGCGTGAAAACGTGCTGCGGAGCACTGTCTCACCACCTCCCCCATCCCTACATCTCCCATCTTGTCAGGGAAATAAATGAGGCCAGTTTCCAACTGAATGACGTGATCCACAACGGGCCTGGACTGTCTGTCCTGATGGGCAAAGCAGGACATGTGGATTTTGACAGCCCAAAAGACGGAGGGTGGCCAACATGCCAAGAGCGGCTCGAGCATATTTGTTTGTGTGATTTTCCAGGCGGGCTCAGAGCAGCTTTGCTATCCATCTGCAGAGGCAGCAAAATATCTGAACAGATCAAAAGACAGCCTGACTCGGGTGGAGGGTGGGGGGAGACGCACTAGGGAACCATCACAGTTAATCATCAGCTTTAATGGCCTCACATCTGCAGCTGCTTGCACCAAAAAGCTCGACACAGAACGAAATACAGTGATTTCCTTCCCAACCTTCACACAGCCAGCTGCCTCCCCCTCTTCTGTAGCTGCGTGCTTCTGTTAACATGCTAATAATAATACCTCACTGCTGTGCACCGAATGATCTGGATAGACTGACATTGCATCTTTTGGTCTATGCAGCATTTCCACTGATAGCTTTGCCCCTAGGTCACCTCTGGTCCAAAATGAAGCGGTGTCTGTGCTTCGTTTGAACCAGGGCCTTCGTACGTAGACATCTCCAGCCACAAGTGTGGGAAAGAGGAGGGCCACACTGGCAGACACCGAATATATTGATATTCTTACAAAAGTACAGGAGACCAGAGGGAGAAATCATCCACAATAGTAATAACAGCACAGAAAATCCAGTGATGCTCATGAAGGACATTGTATATATACATGTATATATATACATGTATGCACATATAGATATAGATATAGATATAGATATAGATGTATATGTGCATGTGTGTGTGTGTGTGTGTGTGCATGTGTGTGTGTGTACATACACACACATATTATGTATGTATATATGTTTATACACACACACTGGATATATATATCTATATTAGATATATCTATATATCTATATTAGATATATCTAATACATATCCACATGGCTATATATCTATATATCTATATTAGATATATCTAATATCGATCCACATGGCTATATATCTATATATCTATATTAGATATATGTAATATCTATCCACATGGCTATATATCTATATAGCTATATTAGATATATCTAATATCGATCCACATGGCTATATATCTATATATCTATATTAGATATATCTAATATCTATCCACACGGTTATATATCTATATATCTATATTAGATATATCTAATACATATTCACATGGCACCAGTCCACCTACGGTTAGTCCTGAAATAGTGAAGGAGCTCCTGGAGGAGCTGGATGGGTACAAGTCAGCAGGCCCGGATGACCTCCATCCACGGCTGCTGAAAGAACTGGCCAGTGTCATAGCTGAGCCGCTGGCACAGCTCTTTGAGCGCTCGTGGTGCTCCGGCCAGGTCTCTGAGGACTGGAGAAGGGCCAATGTGGTGCCCATTTTCAAGAAAGGGAGAAGGGATGAGCCGGGTAACTTTCCTGGGAAAATGCTAGAGAAAATAATGAAAGAACACATTTTTGCAGGCCCAGCAGGGGAAACGATGCTGAGGGGAAACCAGCACAGGTTTGTCACAGGTAGATCCTGCATGACAAACCTTGTAGCCTTCTATGACCAGGTCATGCACTGCCTGGATGCGGGAGCCAAGCCTGATGTCATCTTCCTGGACTTTAGGAAGGCCTTCGACACAGTCTCGCACCCTGTCCTCATTGGGAAGCTAGCAGACTGCAGAGTGGACGCCTACACGGTCAGGTGGGTGGCCAGCTGGCTTAGGGACCGCACCCAGAGAGTGGTGGTGGATGGGTCATTCTCGGCCTGGAGGGAGGTGGGCAGTGGGGTCCTGCAGGGTTCGGTCCTCAGACTGGTATTATTTAATATCTTCGTCAGCAATTTGGACAAGGGCGTGGAGAGCACCCTCTCCAAGTTCGCTGATGATACCAAAGTTAGATGATTAGTGGCCTTTGCGATAGACCCTATGGGTGGAGGTTGAGAGAGCTGAACCTCTTCAGCCTTCACAAGAGATGGTTGAGGGGAGATCTTGCTTCACCTCCTGCACTCCAGTGGCTATGGGGTGAGATGCTATGGCTTTGCGTTACATAGATCAGACCACATGACTGCACCAGTCTTTTCAGTCTTTAAAATCAAATAACCCATAAATCTACCACGCTGCCACCCAGGTCCATGTGCTTGAGTCAGTATTTTTAGGAAAGACAGATAGCTGCCTAGTTATCTTTGTCCTTTAATGCAGCCGTTCGCAAAGCTTCTGAGCCCAAGGGGTCATTGTCAACCTTGACAGAGTTCCTTGTAGACAAGCTATCACACTTAACATTGAAAACTCCCCGGGAATAAGATGGAA